GCTAAAAGCACACGTTGCCCTTTGGAAATGAGTGTGAGATCCCGACAGAATGCCCCTGAGTCCACTGTGTGGCCACTTGTTGTCTGAACGCTAAGCAGGAAAGACGTTGCCTATGTTATTTAGCTGAGACTTGAAAATATCGCAGGGAAGAAGATAAATTAAATATAATACTGCCAGGAGTCAATTAGGAACACAGATCTTTCCATTTTGCGGTTTGTTTTGCAGAATTTTCTTCAGGTTATTTTTTTATTCAAATAAAACACTTATAATATGTATCTTATAATCGACAGAATCATAGCAACTTGGTGGGATTTCATAGTTGAATGTAAATTCATTGTTTGCAAATCCATATGGAAATTTAAGAGATATGATGGCATTGTTTCTCAGTGACCTGATGAGTTCATTTTATTCTTGTCCCACGCTTACTGGTTGGCTATTGTAATAATATTTCATTTCTATTTTAATAAATAAAGCTTGCCTTAGGTTCAGAGAGTAAAACAGCTGCCCTGGTCAGCCTTACATACGAGGCAGTGGTGACACACACCTTTAATCCCAGTAGCCACACTAGTTTACCATAGAAACCAGGCAGTAGTGGTGCACGCCTTTAATCCCAGCCCTAGAGAGAACTATAAGAAGGAAGGAGACAGCTCTCACACACAGTCTCATTCTGAGATTCCTGGAGGTAAGATGGCCATTTCAGACTGAGATAGAGATAAGAGCCAGGGTCTGGTTGTTTTGCTTCAGGTTGAACTTGAATTTCTGTCTCTGAGTTTTTTATTAATCATGTTACATTTGGTGAAAGGGTTGGATAAGGAATTTGAGTCTGTTACCGTTCAGGAACAGTGGACTGCCACAGGCGTTTCTGTCTGGCCTTAGTTGACAGAAGGCTTTTATGTGCAGGCACAAACACAATTAGCTGTATGCTTACTCTTCAACACTTCACCCGTGTTCCCATAGGCAAGTAGCCCCCAAATAAGATAGAACTGAGAACTGCTATTTCTTCAGGCTGAAGAAACTCTTTAAAGCTCTGAATGACACGCAGTAACATTTTGATATTTCCATTGCACAAAGTGTGTGTAAAAAATAATTCTTTTAATGGTATGCCATTCTCTACTGCTACTCACACAGGATAGTCTAAATATGGGCGTGTGTGTGTGTGTGTGTGTGTGTGTGTGTGTGTGTGTGAAGCATATTAGGAGGGGTGAGAGAAGTAATGAAAAAAACATTAAGTCTTCCTTTTTCAACACATATACAATTGCTTTTTTTTTCCTGCCCATGAAGAGAAGACTAATTTCACAGGCATTATGGTTCTGTCTCCCTGTTGAAGACAGAGACAACCGGCTCCTAAAAGTGTGCCTGCACCTTCTCTCCTACTGTGTTCATGCCCTAGAAGATGCATCATCTTCTTTTATCTTGGTCTGGATATTAGCTTTTCGTTTAGTAAGTTTCCCAGAGGTATTCCGTTGGGAGTAGAAGGAAGTAATTATGAAAGTTATGTTTTGCTCTCAACACTGTGGAGTTTATCTCTCTGTTATTTTCAGCATCTTCTCTGCCTATGACTCCTCTTTAAAAAATCTAGAAAAAACTCATCTATTGGGGACCCGGGGGTGGAGAAAGTGATGCAGTCACTTGGTGACTAAGGTGGTATTCATGCTATTACTTTGAGGATTATGATTTCTCATTTCCAGAGTAGCCCAGAGTGGCTCCCCTGGATGCCTCAGGATGTCTAAGGACAGAGAGAAGCATCTACATATGTATTAAGCTGACTATCCAGCAAACAGGACAATATTAAGGATGTACTCTGCACTTGTAGGAGAAAGAAGAGAGGGATGATGCATTATCCTTATACAGTTTTGCCTCAGAAGTTTGTCCTTGTTTTATAGGACAATGTCTCTGATATGTGGGTATATATAAAAGACACAATTATAGAACTGAACAAGACATAGTTTGCAGAACAAGACATAGTTCAAGTTACTTGAAATTGTAACAATTCTGTAGGGACCAAAAGGACAGATGACAGAAGTGAGGTCTCCACATCTCAGAACAATTGTATGTTGACCTTACCTGCCATTATTTTTTCTTTAAAACATCCTGATTTTTTTCTCTTAAATATTTCAATAGTTAATATTAAGCATTTCTCTTCTTAAATTTTGTTATCCAATCATTGACCTCCAGAAATGGTGTTTTAAAATATCCTTTTATGGGCTGGAGAGATGGTTCATAGGACAGAGTTGTTGTATTCAAGTCCCTGGAACCCTCATAAAAATTCCCGTGTGATGTGGTAGCACACAGCTATAGTGCCAGTGTTGTGGAGGCAGACATAGGAGGATCCTGGAAAGTTTGTTCAGACACGCAATGCTTCTTGTGCTTATTGATGACAGTCAGCATAAGGGAGGCAAAAGCAAAGTCATTGTGTAAGAAGGTTTTCAACCACAAAGTTCGGTAAATTTCTTGAAAATTTGATAACATTATACCTAATATTTTGTTATAGTAATCTGAGATGAGAAAAAAATATGCGTTTAGACCTGCCATTCTTTTTACATAGTTTTTCTGCTAAAATGTACTCTTGGTTGTTAAATACTCACAGCAAGCGGAATAAATGCTCCTATTGAATTAACTTGACAACCAGGAAGTCACTGTTGGGACCTCTGAAAGACAGCTGAGAAGCATCTTTTGCCAAGTGTGATTGGCCTCGGCACAAGTTTTCTCCCCTGTTTCTAGCTTTGCAGTGAGAAGGGACAATTTTACAAAAACTTGGCAAAAAGCAAAGATTTGCTGGCAGTCCCTGCTCCTCTGGTCATGGTTCTGTGAGATCTAATAATGTGGAATGGGGACCGCACCTCTCCCTCAGAAGCACACACATATTCAGTTGCTTTGGTTTTCCTGCCAATTAGACACTTAAGATGTACAAGTCCATCTCCAGGCAACCTCTTCGATGATCTGGTATTCTTTGGTAAAGGAGCCTCAGGCAAGGAGACATTCTAAGTGGCCAAAGAGTACGGTGGGGGAAAACAAGGCTGCTCCTTCAATATCAGAGAAAAATCTATGTACACATTTGTGTTTATGGAAACACAAGGGCATGCTAACATTAGCATCGACCTAGTTAATGATATAAGATTGGGCAGCAAAATTCTCAGCTGTCAGGGTCTCTGAGCCTCTGCAAAATGACATTGGACAATGTCATTTCTTGTGGGGAGTGTCTTGTGGATAAAAGGACCTTCTAAAACATCTGTGGCATCAGGCAGAGGATTCTAGAAGACCCTTTCCCCAAATCAGAAAACATCTGATGTTCAAAACGCCTGCTGCCCAGAGGAAAGCACGCTGACTGAGAGTTGCCTCTGAGCTAAAGACCAGTCAGTGTGTTCCAGTAGTCTACCCTTCTTTGCACGTGTAGACGGAACCAGCAGCTCAAGAGGTAGGGGAACGACAGAATTATCTGTATGGCTTGTTTTCTGCTTAAACAAGCATGACAGAACTCACACACTTTTGGTCTACTGACACCTTCCCGTTAGTCATCTTTGGAATTTACTCATCTAAGTGGTGCTGCAGCAATTTTGGAAGAATTTTAGTGGGGGTGGAGGACTTCTCCATCTTTTCAAAGTGAATTGGTTTTTGGAACAACCTAAGCTCATTCAGAGTCAAGTTCAGTAAACAAGGTGGGTGAGCAAAGTGGATGAGAGAGAGAAAATTCCCAGGGAAACAATAATGAGATCATTCTTATTTCTCTTGTGAGACCCATGAACAGGCCTGAAAGCTGATTTTAGTAGAGGAGTCATGGAAAGGTTGTGAGTCAGCCTTCATGGAAAGGATAAATGAGCAATCGTCTTCATGAGCAACGGTCTGGATGATAGCTCACTTTCAGCTTGTAAGTTTGTGCTATAAACTATTCTATTTTTTAAAAAAATGTACTTTAGAGCAGTATATCATAGAATGAGAAAACAAGAAAAAAATCTGGATTCTTAAAAATGTCTCCTTTTGTTTGTCTAAGGATTATTTGTATAACTCGAATCAATTTTTATACACAGATTTCTACTATACAATGCAATTTTTTCTCGCTTCCTAAAGAATAAGCTCTAGCTCCAGGTCTTCTGAGAGCCTTCCCTTTAGTTAGAGTGTAGACTCTGGGCGGTTTCACCCATCCTAGGGCAGTGTGCTATAGTAAGTCACAATCAGGCATTCACTGGGGTTTTCAATGCGGTGTTGTCATATACCTGCTAACTACACAGGCGGGAAGAAGCCCCTCATTCTGCGTACGCTCTCATTTTCTTAGTTCATTCCCTTCAAGGCACTGGCAAAGAATTGCCCTCCCTTCTATAAATACTCCAAGTCTGCAGTAACAACGGTATTTTTGTTTCAAACTTTTCTCTTTATACAGAGCCTATGTGTTATTGTTGGAATATGCGTCTCTATAACATTACCTTTCTCATGCATATAAAGTACTTTAAACATATTCGCTACCAACCCAACTGTACCTAGCCTCAACTCGCTGCTGGTCGTTATGGTTCTTTCTAGCCATTTTCCTTTAAATCCAGATTCCATATCTGAGAAGAAAACAAACAGTATCTTTCCATATGAAGACTGTCTTATTTCATCAATACAACAATTTCTAGTCCTATTCATTTTCCTGCAAATGATATAATTTCACTTGTCTTTGTGGTAGAATAATACATAATTGCATGTATTCAGAAAATTTTCTTCATCCATTCCTCTACTAGCAGGCCCCTGGCTGATTCCATCCTTGAGTAGACAATAGTAGTTTATTTGAACATATGAATGACAGATTTTTTTATCAGAATTCTAATCTTGTTTCTAAACACTAATCATTACTTTCATTTGAATCCTTACCAAAACAAGAAGATATACCCAATTAAACATTTATGGACACCAATGTTTCAGTAGATATGGTATGTTACTGGTATTTTATTACTAGATAATAATAATAAACAAAAATAAGTTTTTCTTCTTTCTTTCCTTGAACTATAAAGGTTTTAATGATTTACCTGTAGCCTTGGTTGGTCAGAAACTTCAGTATCTAGAAAAATAGAGGCAGAAAGTGAAATGAAATATTTCCATTTACAACCTAGCTTAGAAATGTTTCTTAATTGAAATTACTACATTGCTGTAAAAAGAAGAATAATATTCATAATCACAAAATAAAATTAATACAACTTTTAGAAAATTTTCTTAAATGTACAATGAAAAATTGAGATTGAAAATGACACATTTTGGATTAATACAAATGATACTTTACACTTGCCCCCATCATACCCCACCAAACAACTAATGATTCAAATACTCCCATTTTTGCATTACGTGTGGAAAAAAAATTAACCCAAGTCACCCAATCTCACATAGTATCCCAGACAGAAGAAGTAGTATTCAACATACGCTCATCTGACTTTCGAGCCTGTAGTTTCTCATCCCCTATAGAATAATCTGTTTGTTTTCTTTTTGTTTTGTTTTTGATTTGCCTTGCTTATGACAAAGTTGTGAAATTATATGATTCTTTCCTAAAGGAAAACAAATCAGAAATAATAAAGTCTCACATATTTGCTAACAAATGTAAAATTAAAGAGGAGAACATGTTTGCATTTACTTCCAAATTCGAGGGTTTTAAATGAAAAACAAACAAACAAAACTTAAAAGTCCTGGCGGATGAGCAGTATTACACAGTAGGTGAAACAACTCTGAGTCTACTCATTAAATTGTATCCACAATTTCCAATGTTTCAAGGATAAAGGAGAAGACCGTTCAATTTTCAGATTCTCTTCCCCGGTCATCTTTGCTAACTATCGTGGCATAAAAACACGCATGATTTGGATGGCTTGCCCAAAGAGCAGCCATCTTGATCTCTAGATTTCAGCTTTCAGCTGTGAAAATTCTTGTGATTTAAGGGTAGCTTATTAAAGTTATGATAGTTATTTCAATACCAGCACTATAAATCAACTATAATGCTCATTTTGATGGTATTACTTTGATAACACAGAATTTTAAATTTTCAATGAACTGCAGAGATATTTATGAACTGACAACCCTGAAAGGTAGCTTCTAGAAGAGAGGGATAATCATCCCTTTGTTTAGTCTCTTTCTGGAAGTGAACAAGGCCATTTGTCTTGTATTCGTCCTGTCATAACTTCATGTTCCAGTGCGACATAAACTAGTCCAGAGCATTCTGCTATCATAGAGTGGGGCTTAACTCAACTCTTCCTCTTGCTTTTGTGTGACCTTAGGAAAATTTCTTAATGTTCCAAATCCTCAACTCTTCCCCTCTGACATGGAGATAAAATGCACCCAGTCTCATGACTGTTGTGAGGGATGAAGAAATGCTTCATTCTGTAACTGCACAGAGTCAAGACTTGGTAAATATTGACTATTATCACCATTAATAGCACATTTCTGGTGGAACATTCAATGGTGCTTTGCCCATTAAAGGAGAAAATAATTATTTGAAAATGTACTTTCCTAGGAAATGATTTTATTATTGGGTTTAATGAAGTTTACATAGAAAAGAACCCTATTTTAGTCTAGCATATTTGACATTTTCAACAGATGTGGGCATACAGAACAACTACACTGTCAGATATTATATAACCATAGTAACAGGTGTCTTAGGCTTTTGTTTCTCTGTAACACTATTATTACAGAATTTAACTTTATTTGTTATTTTTATTTGATTATGATTATTCTTAGAGATATAAGTAAGTCGATCACATGTTGTAAGGAGAGGGGTCCCTTTGTTTTTCCCAGCCGCCTGACTAGTTTACACCCAAAATAACCACACAGAAATTGTATTAATTAAATCACTGCCTGGCCCATTATCTCTAGCCTCTTATTGGCTAACTCTCACATCTTGATTTAACCCATTTCTGTAGTGTTTTCCTGTTAACTGTATTACAATATTTTAAGGCAAAAAGAGTTACATAATTTTAAAAAATGATTTAGATACTTGTCCTTAAAGAAACTGTTGATAACTTGTGTTAACTGTATAATGTTGACAAATAATTTTTGTGAGAAATATGCCCCCTTCATCAGTCATATTTCTAGTGTCTAACTGCATCAACCATCACAGCATCTCAGGATTTGGTCAAGCTTGTCTGAATAAGCATGGTTGTCATAGCAAAATGGAAAACATGTCATTTAGTCACGAGTAAGTTCCCTGTTATCATGGGCAACAATTTGGTGTGACTGTTGTAATTGTGGGGCTAATTGAAGCAGCTAATGGAGGGCTTTGGCATGTGTGACTTCTGCCCACCCCTCTGTGGGCCCACTGGGATTCTGGTTTAGTGAGCTCTTACCACTTCAGCACATCAGCAGCGACAGAGATAGATCTGTCTCCTATCTCTGAGTGTCGCTGATAAGAAGGCTTTGATGTGAAACATGGTGCTCTATAGGGTCATCTAGTCCAATTTTTATAAAACAGATCCACACAGAATTTGAGAATGTTACTTTTGATGAGAAGAATCTTAACATTTGTATTAATTAAATAGCAAGCAAAAGAAATGCCCCAAAGAAATATACTGTACCTGGATACCAGTAGTATCTATGCTCTTACATCTACACATGCAAAATATTATTCCAAAATCACATTGTAAGTTTTTTCCTAGAACCAAAGTGTCCTATGTTCACAACCATTTATTCCCCCACTGACATAAAGCCTGTTAGCAGCAACATTCATTATTGATGTTTATTAGTAAGGGACATCAAGTTTCTCAGGGTTTTTAATCATTTATCATCACCATCATTGTATATCCATACTGTGTGTGCATTTGTGGTATGTGTCTAAAGGAGGGCACATGCATGCTAGAGTGCTTATATGCCACAGCAAGCTTGTGGGATTAGAGGACAGCATTTGTGTGTTGCTTCTTTCTTTTAAACATGGGTTCTAGGATTCAGACTCAAGATATTAAGTGTGTTTACCTGCTGAGATGCCCATATTCTTCTGGAGAAGTGATTGAATAGCAAAGATAAATGGTCTGGTTGTATAGTAATTTCATGTAAATTAAGAGTGCAGTCAGAGAAGGCATATGGAGTGGAAATAAGCAGTCTCTGATATTTGGTGGGGAAATATTTTCTTCTTATGATGATGTCACATGGACCAAATTGCAACATAGGCAGCATTCTCCAAAGCCCACATATGAGGAACCAGAGTCCTCTTTTATGTGGAAGCCACTGTTGTAACCAGACCTCTTGGACAGGATAGAAAACAAAACAAGATTAGGTGAACTAAGCAACGCTTCTTTCCTTTGAATGTAGTTCAATGAACTTTCTCTAGTTCAATGCACTAGAGCAAAAAAAATCCTAGAATAGATTTTTAGATCCCAGAACTGGTAGTGAGATTCTCTTTCTGAAAGAGATTTGGGTAGAATATGAGTGGCCATTGACAACTCCAGACAGATAAGATTCAAGTAAAGGTTGCAGCATTGGTTTAAATCAGAAAGCTTCGAGTAGATATGTACTGTATAATGTCACCATTTAAAAAAAAAAGTCTAAACTTTCAAAGGTAACCAAGCAAAACAGATGTGTCTAGCACCCCCCCCCTTTCTGCTGAAAAGACATCATTTCAGGTGGTACGCAATTCTCTATGACTCTGTTCATTTTAAAATCTGACATCTATGATATGAGAATTATTTACATTACAAAGTCTGATTTTGGGTTAGGAAAAGTAATACATAAGACTCCATGTGTATTCTTTTTCCCTGTCAAGGATCTGAGCGACCCTTGATTTTGTACTCTTAGTAGACTGAGGCCTGGTGGCAGTCCAGGGTTACAAGAGGGAAGAAATTATGATATGATGAATTTTGTATAGGAATATTCGTGGATGTATTTGGGCTATCAGAAGCATGGTATATGTATATATGTATTTTGATGATACTTCTAAATTTCCAGAGAAATTCATGTGTCTGGAGGTAAGAAGTTACACGTTTTACTCAGAAAATTTTGTCTTTCTGCTATTGAAATACAGTTTTTGAGATTAGAGCAAGAATCCATTTTAGAGACAGAAAGGAGGTGTATAACATAAAAACTCTCTTCTGTATTTCTCATTAAAAAGCAAAAGCTTTGTTGAGAAGAGTGGGAAATGAATGGAAGCTTAAATTTAAGGATACAATAAATCAGATTTGGATTTAGACACATCACTCCACAGAAGTATGAATAATTTCAAATGAGATTATACCACATGCAAAGAGACAAGAGAAGATATTCCTGACCCAGATCTCCAGTGAGACAAAAGCTTCCTATGTCTTTGTCCCTAGGATGTAGATAGATAGCAGGTGGTTAATATATGTTTGACCATGAGAGACTGTGGTGCCACCTGAGAAATCACGTGATGATGAATGGAACTGAGTGGTAGTAACAAGGATTTGAAGAGGTAACCAGAAACTAAAAATATACCAGTGATGTAGAACCAACAATAGTTTAATTCGTGTTTTCCAGAGATCAGGGGGAAAAGTTTAAAAAGGACAAAGTAAATATAGATTCCTGCCTCAGTCACAATGGTACTCTTCACTGAGATCATAAATATTTGGTGAAGGAGAGAATAATACATTAATGGAAGCACAGGTAAGAAGTTAGTAGAACATTCAGGCCGTAGTGATCCGAAAACCTCCTGTGTCTACAGATCCTGTTCCCTACAGTGCAGAATGGAATAAACTGTGCAGATAACTTGAGACATCAAAAATCTGAGGGAAGAATTTAGAATTAAAAAAGAAGTGGATGAGATTGTGGCAACAGTCGTTTTAAGTCTGGGGAGTAGAAAAGTGGTAGAAAAAAATAGAAGGTGCCAGTTTCTGAAAGAAAATAGAAAAGTTGGAAGGAGGATGATCTTTCATAAGCCAGTATAGGCTATTTAAAGAAGAAACATACATCACTGGCATTGAAGATATAAACATAAAAGAAATGCAGTCTGTCTCTAGAGAAACTCACGTTCTAGGGAAAAGGAAGACAATTCAGCAATAATTCAGATGTAGAGAGACATGAAATAGTGCTTTGGACCAGTGAAAAGATTTCTCTATCAATCTTTCTACTCGTAAGTCTAAAGCTAGAACAAAGTTAGAAGTTGACGCATATGCAGCAATTGCTGACCCAGAGTGCTTTTTATAACACAACTTTGTATTATCATCTGGCATTTTGTTTATTATTTGATTTTTTAAATAAAACTCAAGCTCTACAAAAAAAAGCAAAAAACAAAAAAAACCACTGAAGTCAGTGAATCCATTTTGCTGTCTTGTGTATTCCCAATGCCTAAAACAATTTCTGTCATGGAATCAGTATTCATTAACTACTTGTTGCATGAATAAAAATACTACTAATAAAACTATTGTCCTTACACCAGTCTCAGGAAAGCTTATTTGAAAAATCTGATAGGAATTTAATTTCTTATTGTCTTCTGTTTGTCCTAAAATACTGATTTTTGTTTGAGAGTTTTATCTATCTATCTATCTATCTATCTATCTATCTATCTATCTATCTATCTATTCATTTATTTATTGGTTTTTCGAGACAGGGTTTCTATGTGGCTTTGAAGCCTGTCCTGAAACTAGTTCTTGTAGACCAGGCTGGCCTCAAACTCACAAAGATCCTCCCGCCTCTGCCTCCCGCTTGCTGGCAATTAAAGGCGTGCACCACCACCGCCCAGCTGTCTGAGAATTTTATTATGCAAAAATTTTATTAACTGAAAGTTCACTGTGTTGTGTGGATTATTACAAACTTCTCTTAAATCTCCTCAGCTGTGATGTGCATTGGCCTTGAATCATGCATTCCTGCATTCGAAAGTTTTTTACCTGGAGATAAATAAATCCAATTTGGGGAAACACTCTATGGCTTGTGAGGAAATGAAGGACTTTCTTCAAATTAACTCCATCTGTTTAGAACTCTTCCAAATAATTGCCTGAAATGTAAAAAAGAAATTCTTTACTCCAGAGAGAATGATTTGTTCAATATTTTTCTCATTTGAATGTCTCTAAACAAGCATTTTCATCTGTCAAGAATAGTTCACATGCATGTTTGCTTTTGACTTTGATAATCCAGGGTCAATGGGGGCCTTAAAATATTCAGATTTTACTATGAAGAATTTTGGATAGGGAAGAGTTGTTTGCGTAAGACATTGCTATCTTTATTCCAACTTCATAAAGAAAAATGGCCAAGATGTAAGCCAGGGCCGATTCTCTCTTCCTCGTTTCTCGGCAAGAGCATTTGCCCTGTCAGAGGCAGTCACATGTTGCTGAGTGAATTAAGGTTAAGTAAGAAACTGTTCCTGTTCCCGTGAATTAGGACTTTTGGGAACATCTCACAGAAAAGCAGATCTTAAATTGAGAATTAAAGCGAGTAGGAAATTTCTAGTTGAACAAAAAGAAGCTTTGAGATAGAAGAAATGTTATTTGCAATTTATAGAATATGTTAAATAGAAAAGAATATTTACCCAGGTCCAAAGTGTTTAATGGATCTTAAACCCAGATTTATGCAGGTGATTTATAGATAAAATAGTTTTAATAAAAATCAGATAATATAATACTTGGCTTGCTGAACCTCTTGAAAGAGGACACAAACCTTTATTTCATAATTTCAGTAACGTATGTAGGGAAAGAGTGCCTCTTGCGATTACCCATAGTATGAGTTGTTTTATTATAAACAAAGCTCATTAAATTCTTGGTTCTAAAAGATATTCTTGGATCTAGTACTTGTTAATGTGTCAGTTCTCTGTGAACTGTGATAATATACCTGAGAGGATCAATTCATAAGAAAAGCAAAAATTATTATGTCTCACACTACTAGAATCGTGAGTACCTGGACAGTTGGGTCCATTGTTTTTGGGCCAATGTTGAAACAGAGTATCATTGCATAGGCACATGGTAGGGCAAAGCTGCTCACTTAGTGACAGGTAGTACACTTACATGCACATATACACGTACATACACCTGCACACACACTCTAACACACATGCTTTTACATGAACACACACACACACACACATACACACAGGTGGTGAGGGGGTCCCCATATGCCCCCAACTGCTTGGTTTTTTGTTTTTTGGGTTTTTTTGAGACAAGGTGGTTTCTCTGTAGCTTTGGTGTCTGTCTTGGAACTAGCTCTTGTAGACCAGACTGGCCTTGAACTCACGGAGCTCTGCCTGCCTCTGCCTCCAGAGCACTGGAATTAAAAGCGTGTGCCACCACCACCTGGCACAAACCTTGTTTTTAATTGTTATATCACGCCCAACCCCTACTAATACTGCCAAGCTGAAGAATCAAGTCTTTAAAACATGGTCCTTGGGGTATCATTCAGATCCACGAAAACCAGCAGGTAACAACAGACTATATTGCCACCTCTGTTAAAGCTACAGTACATGAGAAAGCTCTGATGATCTAGATCTTCAATGATATGATCACTATGTAGAGTGTCATTATTTTTTTTAACTTTCTTCAAACATTTCCTCAAGAAAGAATACATATCATGTATCTTACATGTTTCAAAGCAGAAAAATAAAGGATAGAAGTTTAATGACATTAATCAATTAATTGACAAACAATACAAGCTACTACTTAACATCTTCAGCTCATTTGTCATTAAAGTACAGTGGATACTGTTACTATCATTTAGTATCTTTTGTTCTTCAGAAGAATACATTAGAAATAGTATGTATTTGTCATTAAAGTACAGTGGATATTGTTATTATCATTTAATATCCCTTGCTCTTCAGAAGAATACATTAGAAATACTATGTATTCGGTGGACAAAGAAGCAATCTAAAAACCCAGGACAAGGAAGTTGTCTTAGAAGGGTCTTAGAAGCTGCAAAGAAACAAAGTCATGCTCCTTAAAATAATTTTATTATGAAATATAAAAGTCAAAGATCACAAGTCAAAACTTAGAACTGGATTAAAATTGAGGACCTTGGCATCTGAGACCCATGGTTCCTTTCACTGTGTGACTCCTCTTGCCACTAATTCTGAACTCCATTTCTTCTGGCAAGGGTCTGCAATAGGGCATAGCTGTGCCTTCTAAATCCATTGAAACGGCCTATGTGCTTGGGCTCTTCAAACTCCGGGAAAAGAATCTTTTATAAAAGAAAACAGGAGCCTAACGCTTGACATTCACAGTCGTGGGACTGAGTAATGATTGTCAGCTGCACAGGATCTAGAAGCACACACCTCTAGGTATGCCTGGGAGGGATCTCCTTACTAGGCTAATTGAGGTGAGAAAGCCATCCTACGTATGGGTGGTACCAATTCATGGGCTAGAGTCCTAGACTGAACCAAAAGGAAGAATTAGCCAAGTACTGAGTTCATCACACTCTTGTCTGGACACAATGTGACAAGCAGCCTTCTGTTCCTCTGTTCCTCTCCCCATCCTGCCAGGATGGACTGTACCCCCACCTGGAACTGTAAGCCGAAGCTGAACCTTCTTCCTTTAAGCAGGTTTCGTCAGGTATTTTGTTCCTGGAATGAGAAAATAAACACTGCAATGGAATGGGCCCTGTGACGCTAACGAAATCGCATTGCTACAGGATGCCAGCGTGTGGGGAGCAGAAATCAGGAAAGCTGTCTGCACCCGTGAAATAATGCGTTACAGCATCCTAGAGTGCCTGTTACCCTTTAGCCTGACCTTACCTATGTGTGTATGTATTTACTGAAATTATATATGCATATATATGTACTCCGCACACACAAACCACTACTCTTCTTGAGGACTCAAGTTTGATCCTCAGCACCCATGTCAAGAGGCTCAGAGTTGCCTGAAACTGCATTTCCAGGGAGGGGTATCTGACACCTCTGGCCTCAGCAGACACCTGCCTTCAGATACACATAACCATACACATAATTAAAACAAAATCAATTGTATAAATGTACACACATACACATAATTAAATTTTAAAAAAGACAACTAAGGGTACAAACCCACACAAGTTTCTTCCAAAGCTGGCCTGTATTCTGTTCTTTCCTTTTTCTCATTGACCTTCACTAAATGGTCAAATTTCTCAAATTTCTTAGAGGCCTGAGACCAGCTTCCCACATGCTCCATTCCATTGGTGAGAACTTCTATTGAGATTTTTGTTTAGCTTATTGAGTCTTTCACTTCCAGCAGCCTTTGAGTTTGGACTTTCTTTTTCAACTCAGTGTCTTTATTGAATTCTCTTTTCCTCTCTTGAATTGTATTAGACTCTTTTCTTTTGTACTCTTGAAGTACAACATATCTTCTCTGAATTGTTTGAACACCACTATAACCGTTATTCCGAATTATTTCTTTGGGAGCTCTTCCTAGGTGTTCTCATTGCCATCCATTACTAGGAGATTAGTAATGTTTGGATTAGGCATGTTGTCCTGGTTGTCTATGATGTTCTGTTTCTTTGCTGAGATTTGTGCATATGTTGTTTCTTGACTTAGATTTTCTTTCTTTTTCTTTTTTAAATGAAGTCACCGTTCTTTTGGGTGAAGGTGTTTCCAATGTTCAGGAGAGGATTAAGTTGTTGTAGAGTTGAATTGCCTTTTTTTCTGTGCGACTTGTATTCAAGGCTGCAGGTTTTATCGTGACCCTCTGATGAACCACCACTATCAGCAGTAGCATGCTCCATCCAAGACTCAGCACATCCCTGGCTTTCCCCTACCTCTATTACAGTTGGTGTGGTTTTCCATGTCCCAAACCCCTACTGTTTAGCTCTAATCCAATACTTGCTTTCACAGCCTTCCTATGTCTGGACACCCTATCCTGGGTTACCTCCAGCATCCCCAACCCTGGGGGTTTTCTGCTTCTGCCATGTATTGTGGAAACCATATGCCCGGGCACCTTACTCTAGCACTGACATCTTCCTTGAGTTCACAGCTTCATCTGAGTGCTGTAGAACTCCTGGCTTCCAAACGCCTTAACCTGTATCAGTTCTGGCTGGTTCTGCAACTTCTACTTGGTCTTCTGCCATGTGTTGTGAAATCTATGCTGTTCCACCTTACCCCAAGACATCCCCAGACCCTTCCCTGTGTCTGCAACTCCCATCACACATCATGTGATTACTCATACTTGAATATCTTCCACTAATTTTTTCTTAGGAAAAAAATTAAATAAATATAATGGTTATAAAAATGTTTATTCTAAAATCTTTGTTCTAATTTGATATTTTCTGATAGTTGTGAATCATACCATAAGCCCATTTAATGTTTTTCCAAATCCTTGATGTAAACAATTTTTCAAAATATAGTTTACTGAATTTTGTCCACTGTAAAAAGAAATTTTCTTTTTAACAGAGCTTTTCACTGGTGATAAAGACATTGTGTTGTCAAAACTAGACAAGAAAACATACTATATTATCAGTCCCAAATTATACAAATAATCCAAACAAATAGCAACAAAGCTCTTGAAAGAAATTCACAAAGTGGAAGATTTGGTAGCATGTTTATAATAGTGAAAGATATGCAGAGCAGTTCTCTAGGAAGGAAAATATTCTGCTTTATGGAGCTCTCTGGGCCTTTGTTCTCACTACCTGTTCCAGCATGGATAATACCTCCAGGAAAATGTTCTCAACCCTATTTATGAGTATAAATAGCCTGAGTTTTCTAATTCATGTTATATGACTATATGCCACTCCATTTTATCCTCTGAAATGAGGTCTTACAATATTTTTTTGAATTGCCTAATTCCTCTATACCTTGACAGGTTTTCCTTTAGCTTGGTATTTCCATATTTTCGCTGAAAGACGTGACTTCTTCTCATTGCTTTCAAGGAAAACTCTCTTACTTGTCATTCAAGGGTCAATTACACATGTCTCTATGCCTTTTTTACTCCGTTTACATGCATTCCGAACTGTCAATCATCTGCTCGGCACTACATTGTATCTGTTTGAAATGGTGATACAATTTTTGGAAAATACATGTTGTTATAGCAGAAAACTCTTTTGCTGACA